TAAGTATTGTATATAGGCTCATAAAATTAATTAAAAAATAAATGAGTGGGTGGGTGGGTGGATGGATGATATTTGGTTTTGTTGTCATTAAATTTCTTTTCAATGAGACTTTTCATAATTACCAGCAGAGTGAATAAGTGCAGAGCTTTCTGGGTCCACGGCCAGGTTCCCCAAAGCCCGAGCTGCTCGGTTCTGGACCGACTCCAGAGCTACGTTTTTCTTCATGATGTCCACTAAGAAAGTCAACAAGAAATATTAAATAWTCTGTACAAAATACAAGTTAAATCAAATTCCTCATAGAAATACACTCATCACCTACCTACAATATTTATTCCTTCAAGCTTCCGCACCTGTGAAGGAAAACTGAACGTCAGCAACTTTAAGGCCCTTTTTAAACAAATAACTCGTACCAGGATCGATCCGATCTCACCTCCACGCAGGTTTCCAGCTCCGTGCAGCAGTTGGCCAGGATGCTGAGAGCCAGGTCCAGAGTCTTCCTCGAGCACTCGGGTTGTCTGAGCAGGTTCAGCAGGGGTCGGAGGCCACCCTGACCTCTGAACCTGGCGATGCTGGCTTTGTCCCCCTTGATGTGCTGCGTCCGGATGGCGACCAGAGCCCGCCACTGAAAGGCTTTGGACCTCTTGTCCGATTCTTTGCCGTTACACGAACCTGCTTGGTGTTCAGCTTCAGGTCCGGGTTTGTAGAGGTGAGTCAGGCACCAAGTCAGGGAAGCCTCTGGTAACGCTGGGTGACCTTCTTTGGAGTGTATTCTGGAGTGTTTCCAATCACCTTTCACAGATGAGGCCATGGTSCACTGAAATTTCACTTGTACACCAAGTTTCACTTTCTCTGCTCAGATAAATATCACAGACTGCATTCTGAATCACTGGACACTAATCAGTAAATTTATAAAAAATGTATTTATCTGATTTAAACATGTGATCTTAATTTACTTCAACGTATCCATTAAAAATCCAAGCGCCAAGCTTTAAAAACACGATAAAGTAAAGTTGTACCACCTGACGCCGCAGTCGCTGATGGGAAATTGAGTTTCCAGCTTCAGGTCTACTCCCTTTTAAAAAAAAATAGGCCTACAGCTCGAAAAGGCAGAGCGTTATTCTGCGTAATGGATGTGTATCTGCTCGATGTAACAATATTTGTAACTCAAATTACAAATAAAAGCTCCATTTCCTCAACGTTATGTCACCAATGCTCGAAAATAATTATTAAACAAAATGCAATCTCCTGTGTTAGCCGCTAACGCCATCTTTAGCCAAACAACAAAACGGGGGCGGTCCCGAGAGGAAGCAGAAGCTGAAGGGGCGGTTCTTTTAGAACCTTCTGGGGCTTGTAGTTCTAATTACGGCACGTCTCAATTCATTTAACGCCTGCTGCGCTGTTATAAAAACTACATTTTCCGTTACAACAACGTGACACAGCTAGCCAAAGCGTTTAGGGATTGTAGTTCTTAATAGTGCCCGAAATACTTAAAGGTCGTGCTTCTTGCGCCAAAACGGACTACAACTCCCAGATTACCAAGCGCCGTCGCAATGCCATACATCGCTGCGTCCATCGGAAAGGTTGTTAAACTCCGCGATAGGCACATCGCTGACCAAAACACAAATAAATCTGCAGTTTGTGGCTTAGCGTCAAAAACATGGAGGTGATCGAGACTGTCGTGATACCGAATACGGAAGTGGAGGGCGTGTCTAATATAGACACCGATAAAACTAAAGCAGGTAACATTCAAATGATGAGTTAGCTCCCTAAAAGGACGAGCGAGCAATATATAACTACGCACGATCACGTGACCGCGTGACGTATATTAAAGGGATAGTCTGGTCATTTTCAAGCGATGTTTATTAGTTTTAATATCAACCAGCACATAACGGAATCTAGAGAAAAACACAGACCTGTTCCTACATGCTAGGCTAATGGCCGCTCCTTCTATATTAATGAATAAAAAAACTTGTTAAATCTTTAAAAAAACAAAAAAAAAAACAGAATATTTATTAGATTTTTATTTGATTTGTACAGTTTTTACCCTAGATATAGATTTATCTTTTCAACCAATAACATGCAGAATTGTAAAGTAACTAAGTACAAATACTTTGTTACTGTACTTAAGTAGAATTTTTGGGTATCTGTACTTTACTTGAGTAATTATTTTTCAGCGTACTTTTTAATTCTACTCCTTACATTAAAAAGACAAGAAGTAGAAAGTTGTTACTTTTATTTCATTTTTGCTTGTTTTCAATCCAGCTTGTTATTGTAAAAAATAAAAACTATCCATATAAACTGAGCCTCCTATAGAGTGAATTTAACTGTGGCTGAATGAGAAGTATAAATATATAAAACTCTGATAGTGTATTAGTTTGTACACAAACAAATCATGTCACCAGGACATAATCATTAAAATAAAAGTGCTGAAATAAAAATAAATAAATAAAAGGACTGTACTTAAGAAGTATTTGTATTTCATGAATTATATTATTACATTTGGCCGCAGCCCTCAGATAGATTTTCATTTTGGGGAAAAGCTTTGTGCAGCCTTGATATATGTATATAAACTGAAACAGCTGGACTAGTGCATCCTAAATTTAACAAATTAATTATTTTAATACGATATAATCATTTTTGCATTTTTTTTGGGGAGGTCACCTCCTCATAAATGTCCTTACAGAAAATCTAACTGCTCATTTTAAATAAATACTTTTACTTTTAATACTTAAGTACAAAAAATATCAAATACTTTAAGACTTTTACTCAAGTAATATTCCTAAAGCAGACTTCTTTAACGTTTACCAAAGTAAATTTTTGGTAAGATACTTGTATTTTTTTACAACACTGATACACGTCTTTCTTTTATTTCCATGCTCAGAGTTTATTTGGACGCTGCAGGCCACATGGCACCTCGTCAGCACGCGGTTGGAAATGGATCAGGCTTTTGACCAGCCCGTATGCAAGAAAAAGAAACTCTGGGAACGGGTGGCGGAGAAGGTGAACGCCAAACTGAGGGGGTCGGGGGCCACCGACGTCACCGTGAGGGCGTACGAGTGCGACCTCAAGTGGAGGAACATGCTGGCCACGTACAGGAAGAACGCCGACAGGTGCAGGCGGCTGGGCGCGGCCGGCGTCCACTGGGAGTTCTTCAGAGCCATGCACGAGGTCCTGGGCAGGAGCAGGGAGGAGGTGGAAGCTCAGCGCCGGGCCAAGCTCAGCGGAACCAGAGTGGGCAGGGCTATGGCCAGCAAGAGGTTCACGCCCATCCTCCCCACGCCGTCGCAGCCTCCCGGCGGCGGTGCCRCCGCTTGCCCCGCCAGACCCCCGCAGGACGTGCTGCAGCTGTACATGGAGCTGCAGGAGAGGAAGCTGAACATGTGGGCGCAGCAGAAAGCTCTGGAGGAGAGGAAGGTCGACGCCATCAACAACCTGGCCCAGGCCATCTCGGGCCTGGCTCAGATCATCAGCACCTCAAAGGATGGACCGTAGACCAGAGAGGACTTTTATCTAACGGTTAACACCTAACAACGGGTCATTTTTTTCTTTTATTGGACACTTTTAACTGTTAAAGTGTTCAGATTTATATTTTTAACAGCCCTTGTTTTGAAGGACGTAGCTTTATTTTTATACCTGAGGAGGCTGAGGTCCTTCTGTGTCTGCAGGACTCTGTTAAAGACATTCTACGACACRGTGGTAGCATCTGCCCTTTTCTATGGAGTGGTCTGCTGGGGGGGCAGGATGTACCGAAAGGGACAGGAACAGGATGGACAAACTGATACAGAGGTCAAGCTCTGTGCTGGGATGTCCTCTGGAGCCTGTGGTTGTGGTGGGTGAGAGGAGGATGTTGACAAAGCTGACAGCCATCATGGACAACCCCCACCACCCTCTGCATGGAACTGTTGGGGGGGCTGAGCAGCTCCTTCAGTCAGAGACTGAAACATCCTCGCTGCAGGATGGAGCACTTCTGTAGGTCATTCATTCCAACTGCAGTTAGACTGTATAACACATCATGATGTCATCAGTTAGACTATATAACACATCATGATGTCATCAGTTAGACTATATAACACATCATGATGTCATCAGTTAGACTGTATAACACATCATGATGTCATCAGTCACTTGGACAATTCACCTACACTGGCATCAGTAATATGCACCTGCATATATATTCATTTTTGTACTGTACTAGGTACATGTACATTGTTATATATCACAAGTATAGTGTTTTTTGTTTTTCTTTTACTTATCTTTCTTTATTCTATCTCACCCTGTCCTGTTTTGAGCTGCTGTAATGTGCAAATTTCCCCACTGTGGGATCAATAAAGTTTTATCTTATACCTCATCAGTAAAATAACTGTATTAAAGGGATAAGGAACAAATAAAAGCTCCTACCACACCAACGTAGAGACAAAATAAGATTTATACACCCAGAAGGAATCACACTCGTTCACTATCAAATGGAATATTCAATGTATACACACACACACATTTGTTCTTCTAGCCTCGTGGGGACTTTCCATTGACTACCATTTATTTTTTTTAGACTTCATATCCTAACCCTGACCATTTACCCTAAAATTAAACTCACAGGTACCTACGTGAGCCTAAAACTAACCTAAACCTTGGTCCTAAACCTAACCCCACTACAGTAATTTGCATTGGGACCCGTGTGGGGACGTGGCACTGGTCCCCACGATTCACTTTGGTCCCCACGAGGCTGCTTTTTTTGGGAAAATTTTCCCCATGTTGTAGGAAAAACTCGTCCAAACACACACACACAYGTTATTCTATCCTCATGGGGACATTGCATTGACTTCCATTCATTTACTGGTCATTTTTACAGCCCTGACCCTTGACCCTAAACCTAACCAAACCTCAATTCACACCTTAGTCCTAAACTGAACCGCTGACCCACCAACTGTATTTCCCCCTAATGGGAACTTTAGTCCCCATAAGGAGCAATAGGTCCTCACCAGGCTGAGTACTGGGAAAACTGTCAGAAATCGTGCCCAGAGGAGGTTCTTCTTCCATGAAGCAGCTCTGTTGTCCTCCATCCATATTTTCAGTTCCAGGCTGAGTCATTTCTACCTTCTCCTCTCTGTCAACGCTCTCTGGTTTCATTTAAAAGAGTCGATCATCAGATATTGTCCAAGATTAACCTTCAGGGTGGATATAGCTCGCTAGCAGCCTCGCACCGAGGACCTATCCACGTCAACATTTACCCAGAATGCTTTGCGTGTAAATAAAATGGCCCCGTCCGTGTTAAAATATATTTTTAAAAATTATAAAAACTAAACATCCTACAGTATTTTTACAGCCTTACAGTTAAAATGAATGTTTATTAAATAAAGTCTGATGTTACAACTAATCGTGGATCCCTTTTAATGTTCGTCACATTTGAAGCGGAGAGGAGCACAGAGCAGACTGACTGCTGCCATTAATCGTATTAATCGTCAAGTGCCAAAAAGTAATCGATTAATGTTTTTCTCATGATTAATTGCACACGACACGATTTTGCCCAAACCTAATTTGAACACAGCCTAACTTTAGCTAGCTTTTTGCTACTCTTAGCTAGCTTCCAGATTTAGCATTTTTCAGCAGCAAATCTGCAACGGCTTCCCGTCTGCGTACGCCCTCATCGTCTTCCTCCCCCTCTTCCTCTTCATTCAGAGCTCCCTCTCTCCCGGACTCTCCTCGAATCTCTTGTCCCATGTTTACGAACACGTTATGCAGCACGCACGCCGTCAGAACAACGGCTCTGGCGCGGTCGTACGTTCCCACATCCAGATACGTGAGCCGTTTGAACCTGGCTCTCAGGCTGGCGACGGTCCGATCCAGGACCTGACCATGTTCCTCCAGGGTTTTGTTAAAGAGTTCCTCTTTTGGTCCACAGACTCTCGAGTACGGGGTCAGAACCTGTGCGGTTAGTGGGTAGCCGGCGCCGGCCACGAGGCAGGAGCGTGAAGGCATCAGTTCAGGGTGCTGTTTGAGTTTGTCTCTCAGAGATCTGCCTCTGTCCAGGTCCGAGCCTCTGCTGATCCTGCAGTGCAGGAGCCGGCCCCTACGGCTGCACACCAGCTCCAGGTTCAACCAGGAGTCGGGCTCCGCCTCCTTCTTCACCCTCTTCTGCGCAGGTGCTTCCCTCTCCGGGTCGAGTTTACCTGCAGGCAAACGCACAGGAATCTGCGTGTGTCCCAACACTCCCAGGACCCGGAGGACTCGTTCCTCCTGCTCGTCGTCTTGGTGAAGGACGGAAAGCGGGGAAAGCATCTCCTCAGCCTCTTCGCCTGGAGAAGAGAAGAAAGGAACATCAGTGATCTTTTCCCTTTCGCTCCAACGTCCTCGCTAACACCTGCGGCGCGGTCCACACCAAGGTTAGAATAGTTTTGGATTTTTCATTATAGTTTAGTTTTRTTTTGTTGTGACTTTTTTCTTTTAATTCAGTTAGTTTTAAAGGGGCAATATCAGGTGAAATCAACTTTTTTGAGTTTTATATCATGTTATAATGTTATACTCTCATAAAAAACATGTCCAAAGCCTTGCTTTGACTCATTCATGCCTGTTTGAGAAATCCTGCAGCGTTTTTAGGCAGCCATACTGAGGAGCAAAACGACAGGTGGGGACCAAAAACGCCCCTGGGACGTGTCTTTAAGCCGAACCTCCTCGTGGCGGAGCACCCCACCTCCCCCTTCCCCACAC